TTTCCTGATTTGGAACAATTAAAGAGGATTAAAAAAGGCCAGATAGTGGGGGACCAATAGTGTAGGTAAGGTCTGTTCTGTTGCTGAAGCATTGAATTACCATATTTTTCACTCTATAAGATGCACCCGACCATAAGACACACCTAGTTTTTAGAGGAGGAAAACAAGAAAAAAATATTCTGAATCAAATGTTGTTGAAGAGGCTTTGCGCAGCTATCCCTGAAGCCAGAACAGCAAGAGGGATTGCTGCGTACACACATTTCCCCTTACTTTTTAGGAGGGGAAAAGTGCTTCTTATAGAGCGAAAAATACAGTAAATTTTTAAAGAGGAGAGGGGAAGATCCTGTTTTAATATAAAAATTTTTACTAGTTGTTGTTTTTTAACATATCATTTTCAACAGTAATTAAACATACTTTTACATCTTATTCAAATTTTTGACTTCTATCAATCCTGTCTGAAAATTTTCCAATCTAATCTCTCAGTATGCATTTCTTAGGGGAAGATCCTGTTTTAGTCGTTTTTGAATTGAGCGATATAGTATTTTATCACTGTAAAATATATTGGGTTTTGCCATGATGTTTTTGCTTCATTTTTAAGTAGAAACATTTATAGCTTGCTCGTCGTTTAAAAAACAAATCCCAGAGCAAGTTAAAATTAACAGCACCAGCTCAATAAGACAACCAGTATTACTTAAAAACTCAACTCTGATACGGCATGAACCAGATCAGCACATCTGTGGACATAGGTCCATCACCCCTACCCAAATTGCCATTAGCCTGAAGCCTGGGTGATTAGATATGGTGCCAAAAAGCCATCGGCACCAGCCAGATCTGTAAGGGGTGGGCACTCCATTGTTAGGGTGTCAGGTCTGTGAATATTGTGAGCGGCCTCATAATGCACACCTGGCAGGTACAGCATTATTAAGGTGATGTTCCCAGCCGCTCCTGATATCCAGGCAGGTGTATATAGGAGCAATCCAGGTCTTAACCCTGGATATTTATCTTAATAGGCTGAGTTTTAATTATACCCTGAACAGGGTATAATTATTGTATTACTGAATGACTGGCAATGGACTTGGACCAAGCACTAAGGATTTGGAAGGTTCTTGCATAGTTCACAGTTCAAACTTAAGTGCATCACTTGAAAGTCCAAAAGAAAAAGTTCAGGAATGAGCAACACTACAGTTGGTTTAAATTTCCCCCAAGAGGGTATGGGGTGTGTATGTGTGTGATTATGTGAGATGAAAAGCTATCTTAATCATGCAAACAGGCTTCTGAGTTTTGCATACTCAATGCACATCGGCCTCTATGAGTTAATTTACACATTCTGGAGAAAAGCCCGTATGGTTCAGACCACAAAATGCAATGCAGGACTGAAGGCTCTCGCCAAAACTAAGGTTAAAGTCCAGGAATAGATTTCATGGTGAGGAGAAATGTTCCAGGTTAGCCTTCTCTTGAGTGACTTTTTCTGTGTTCGTGGAGGTGTTCTGAATTGTGTGTTCAAATAGGCAGAGTTTACGTTCTGAAATGGTGTTATACCGTGCCCTGTTCCTGCCTAGGTCATAGCTCCTCCCTGAGAACAGTAAAATTTTGGAGGGCCACTAAAATTTAGAGTAGGCTCAGCAATAGTGTTCCTTCTTTCCACCTCATGTTGGACCTTGTGTTCCTGGGTGTTTTTCTTTTAATTGTTTTAATTGAAGGATTTTCATAGACAACAAGGGTACATACAACTTCTCCATTCTAAGCTCATTGAGTTCTTTCTACAGATCAGCTACATTCGGTGTGAGATGCTGCTGTCATTGACTTTGTGAGGTACTTTAGGGTGATGTACAGGATGAGCCTATCAGCCAGAAAATCCCCCAGAGCCACCTGGAAACCTATTGGGTCCATCAGCCTCCAAGAGTGGACCATCCCAATAGGTTCCCCCGCCTCTGCAGAGGGGAAAGGGTCCTGAAAATCTAGATCTCAACAGGAAATGATCTGACCATGACATGGGACTGGTGTCAATATCCCCCACTTTCAGATCACCCTCTCCCTGCCCAGTTGAGAACACAAGGTCCAGAGTGTGGCCTGCTACATGCATTGGGCTGGTGACATCTTAGGACAGCCCCATGGTCATCATAAGATCCCTTATTTCATCCGTGGAAGTTCTACCCATGGCACAGCAACCTAAAGTGTGGTGTCTCCAAAATTGGTGTGGTGTCTACCATTGCCCCTGCACTGTGGAAAGCCCTTCCCTCTGTCTTATTTGAAGCATTGTCTATTTTAGTTGCTTCCGATGTCTTGTGAAGACATAACTTTCTGCCCAGATTTTCCCTGCCCCATAAGATCACACCCTTGTTTCTGAATTCCTCTTTTTATCTGTTCCTCTTTCCATCTGTTTTTATAATGCTATTTTACTTTCATTTGTGTGTGTGGTTTTATTGTCTTGGTGTTGTTTTTTGTATACTGTTTAGAGGTTTAAAAAAAATCAAGCTTTTCAGAAATCTTTTTGAATAAAAGTTCAATGGGACTTACTCTCAGGTGGGTGCACATAGGTTTGCCGCCTTAGTGAAGTTGGTACCACAAGATGGGACAAAGGCCACTGCCGTACAGTACAATATTTTGCATATTTATTCAGAAGGAAATCCCACTGTGTTCAATGTGCCTTGCTTCCAAGTAAGCGTACAGAGGAGGGCAGCCTCAGATGGCTTAAAAAAAAAAGGATTAGTCAAACTCATGAAAAATAGCTTCCAAGAAAGCACACTGCTATATGTAAGATGTAGGATTGGCACAAAGGATGGTGACTGGAATGCTTTATTTTTTACACACCCAAGCAAGCATTACATACCTTCCAACATTTCTCCAATGAAAATAGGGACAATCTATTATACACGAGAAGGAGACCATTAGAAACCTCATGTATCTGCCTCAGGGCCTGGTCTCTAAAGCCTCTGTGTACTGGAACATACAGTCGTACTTTGGTTCTCAAACAGAATGTGTTTCAGGAGTCCGTTTGACTCCTGGAAACATTCAAAAACCAAGGTGCGGCTTCTGATTATCGGAAGCTGCAGAAGTTGTGCCGGATGTTCGGCTTCCAAAAATCATTCGAAAACCGGAACACTCACTTCCAGGTTTTGATCGTTCGGGAGCCAATTTGTTCAGGAGCCAAGGCGTTTGAGATCCGAGGTATGACTATACAGTGGTACCTTGGCTTAAGTATTTAATTCGTTCTGGAGGTCTGTTCTTAACCTGAAACTGTTCTTAACCTGAAGCACCACTTTAGCTAATGGCGCCTCCTGCTGCCGCTGCGCTGCCGCTGCACAATTTCTGTTCTCATCCTGAAGCAAAGTTCTTAACCCAAGGTACTATTTCTGGGTTAGCGGAGTCTGTAACCTGAAGCGTATGTAACCTGAAGTGTATGTAACCCGAGGTACTACTGTACATGAAACAAGGACTGAACTGAAATACTACAGTTTACACCAGGAGATGCAGTGGGAAAAGCCTTCCCTTTGTGTGTGATTCTTGGAGACACCTGGTTGGCCACTATGGGAAACAGGACTGGAGCGACCATTGGTCTGATGTGGCAGAGCTCTTCTTATGTTTGTTCTTATGACCCTGACCTTAAAAGACAATGGCAAAACAAGCTGCCCTTTTGTTGGAGGCCTGGCTGCTGGGTATTATCCATACGACACAAGTCATCATGCCTTTTCAGCTGCCTCCTGGTCACACACCTGCTCCTCAAAGCCCCACAGCACAGGAGTCGTGTGTGTGTGTGTGTGTGTGTCTGTGTGTGTGTGTGTGTGTGTGTGTCTGTGTGTGTGCTCCAAAGCCAAAGTGAAAACGCAAAGCCTGAGAGAAAGTGCAGGTCTGTTGTTCCTTTGTTCAAACACCGGTCATTTGTTGACTCAGGTGGCCATTGCGGCGGACGGCATTAGGACGAGGCAGGCATTGTCGCTCCGAACAAGTGTCCCTCCAAATAACTGCTGCTCTGGGTTTTTGATACCTGGAGTGAGGATGCACATGCCAGGGAAGAATGTATCAAAAACATGCCGCTGACTCAACATCAGAGGGAACCTCAAAGGGAGAATGAACTAGAACAAAGAACAAAAACATTACAGAAGTGCCACACTGGATGAGGAAAAAGGAGGGGGGGGCACAAAAAAACACACCACCCCTCTGTACTAACAACAGGAACAAGGTCAGCCATAAAAACCAGAAGAAAAGAGGGAAGTCTCCAGAAAGCATAACAAACGAACCACACAAAACATGCCAGCCATATTCCTATTGATACCCCTCCACACACAATATAAGCTCTCATTACAAGGTTTCATTTTGGTTTTGGAGAAAGAAAACGCAAAAGGGAAGAGTTCTAAGAAGGGAGGTTAGGGACAGTGTGGCCGTGGGTGGCATGGGCAAAAGATTCCTGCCTTGCAGGGGGTTGGGCAAGACGGTCCCTTCAAACTCCACAATTCTATGGGATGGCATCAGAAGAAATAAAAACAAAAAAGAAGAGAATAGACATGCAAGACATGCTCAATGAGGTGCTACCACTAGTCAGTGTCCGCTCTAGGATCTCCAGAGCCCTTGGGCAAGGGGCTCAACTGGCCCCCTTGCCAGTGGGACCCAACTGGGTTCTGAGCACTCTTCAAAGTGTTGGTGCTGACTTTTAAAGCCCTAAATGGCCTTGGCCCAGTATACCTGAAGGAGCGTCTCCACCCTCACCATTCAGCCCGGACCCTGCAGTCCAGCTCCGAGGGCCTTCTGGCGGTTCCCTCACCGTGAGAACCGAAGTTACAGGGAACCAGGCAGAGGGCCTTTCGGTAGTGGCGCCTGCCCCGTGGAACACCCTCCCATCAGATGTCAAGGAAATAAACAGCTATCTTAGAAGACATCTGAAGGCAGCCCTGTTTAGGGAAGTTTTTAATGACTCATGTTTTAATGTTTTTTTAATATTTTGTTGGAAGCCGCCCAGAGTGGCTGGGGAAACCCAGTTGGATGGGCACGGTATAAATAATAAATTGTTGTTGTTGTTGTTGTTGTTGTTGTTGTTGTTGTTACCAGGCCAACCCTGGTCACCAGTGCTGCCTCTAGTTCTTGAGGAGACCATCACCTCAGGAGATAAATCAACTGGGAGACTTTCTACTCTTCTCTCTCTCTTCACCCTTTCTCACCTTCCCTTTCCTGAAAGGAAGACAAAAGAGAAGAAGCCTAGGTCAGGGAACTCAGATTTCTTTCTTTCTTTCTTTCTTTCTTTCTTTCTTTCTTTCTTTCTTTCTTTCTTTCTTTCTTTCTTTAAATTATTTTATTATACAGTCTAAAATATTGTTCATGCTGATAAAGCCCCTGATTGGGAGAGAATGTTCAGCTGCTCCTGGAAGTAAAAAGGTTTGCAATCCAACTTCTGCGAGGGAAGCGAAAATTGTCTGCTTGGCTGGGATCAAAATCTCACATAACAGGAGGCTGAGGGCCTGGAAGAGGGGCCAGGAAACAGGGGAGATAAAGGACAAGGATCCTAAAGGCAAGGGTGGTGGTGGTGAGGTCAGGTTGAAGGAAGGGTGAAGAGTTAAGAGACATTGGTGTGCCACATGTTCCTGTCACGAAATTATATTCTGGAACTGGGTCCAGTTTATCCTTGTTTTTACAGGTAGCATTTGATTTAATGTTGAGGCTACTCCGGTAACATGTGCAAGAGACCGAAATATGGCAAAGCACCTCCATCTGCATAGCCTTTGCGCGAGGCAAAGCTTTGTTGTGTTCCGTCAGATTCCTCTCCAAGAGAAGGGGAGTCTTCTGCCCCCACGCCAGAAGTATTTGTTTACAGGATCGGGCCCCGCCATTTCATTTTAAAGCAGGCCCCCTTCCTTTATTTATTCCTTTATTTATCTCAGCCCCCTTGCCTGTGAAGTTATGCTTGTTAGTGAAAGGTGAAAGGCTTTTTTGATATCTAAAGCCAATGTTACAATGAGCTTTTCTCCCCATGAGAGCACCTGGTTCTCATGTTTAATGAGTAAACACAGGAAAACAGAGACTTGAAGGCTGATTGTTCTCACCATCATTACTTCTGAACCCGACATTAAAGAGAAGTAAAAGACAACGGCACAGCAGTTCTTTGTTTTTTCCACCACACTTCCTTAAACAAAACAAAACAAAACAAAATCTGTAATGAGACACATTTGAAGTCTTACTTGGGGGACAATCTTCTAGATTATAATTGATAATTTTCCCAAAGCAGTATTTTTTTTGGGGGGGGAGGGTACAGATTGTGTAATAATAATTACTTGTTTCTTTTGAGGGGATAAATAAAATATGAATAATGTAATTACTCCCTAACAAAATGTGGAGAGCTGGTTCCCCACTGCTCCATCGACTGCAGCGAGCAAAGAGACAGGATTTCAGGAGCCGATTTCCAAGTGGAGGATGACATGCTACAATTCCTCCCCACTTACACGTGCCACATTTTGCCGGCAGAATCATCCGCATTAAAGGAAGAGATTCTTTATTTATGCAAACTCCCTCCTCCCCAATTAATTCTTCTTAAAAAGAAACAAATTGCCAGTCACATAAGTTAGAGTAGTGACGAGCGGAGAGAAAAGTCATTTGGGGGAGGAAAAAAAAAGATTATTTATACAAATTCTGGGGAGAGGCGCCTTCCAACCAACTGATGTTTTACTGGCTGACCAGTGAAACTATTGTTCAGCCAGTATTGGGGTATGAAGATAAGTAGAGCCTGCTGGATCAGGCCAATGGACCATCAACGTTCTGCTCCCAAAATCCAGATTTGGCTCTGCTGTGCTGATAAGCTACTATTTCCTTCGTCGGAACATAGGACACTGGCCGATACTGAGGCAGCCCTGAGGACCATCTAGCTACCGATTGTCTACACCAAGGTTTCCAGATGTTTTCAGAATGCAATTCCCATTGCATTCTGAAAATGCAATGGGAACTGAATGTTGGAACAGTCAGACGGACTTCTTCACATAGTTAAACTATGGGATTTGTTACCATAAAATGCCATTATGCTTGCTAGCTTAGATGGCTTCCCAGAGGGATTAAATAAATCCATGGAGAAGAAGGCTATCAGAGAAACATGAGGGGAAGAGTGCTATCGTCCTCATGCCTCCATGGGCATCTGGTTGGACACTGCAGGAACAAAATGCTGTCCTTGATCAGCCTCTGGTCTGATCCAGCAGAATTCTTATCATGTTTAGCTTAGCTATAGTTCACATAGATCCACTCCATGAACATTCAAATATGCCTTCCAGAGTATTTCACTCAGGAAGTTAAGTTGTCGTTGTTGTTGTTTTAAAAAAACACATTCCTGGGAACAGCAGCATAAAAATGTAAAGACTTTAGAAGACTTCCAGCCACTCCCCCCCCTAATTTTGTAAACTATCTTTATCAATATTTAATGGCATTTTGATATTTGCTGTTTTGTAAAAGCTATTCTTTAAAAACCACAACTGCAATGTCAATTTTTCATGTGCAAAGGAGACTCTCAGTGGCTTCGTTTATTTTCATCTTCAAAATATGGGGGGCGGGGGGCGGGCAGGGATCAAAATGAAAGGGAATAGACTTCTTCTAAATGCATTTAGCATGGTCATTGCTCAGCTCTTTTGCTTCTTCATGGGGCATCTCTACATTTTAGCTTTTCCAGTAACAGTTAGGCATTGTGTGCTTTGTTTTGTCCAGACTCTCCAGAGGGTCTTCTGCTCTCTTTCTCTGAATTTTCTTTAATGGTCATGATCAAAATGCAAAATATACACAGCATAGGCTGCCCACGCTTTGCCACCTGTGCACCTAGCCGTTCTGACTGTGCCAACCATGTGCTTGAGGGGAATGGGGTCCTGAATACAATATATCCCCACCACACATACAACTGAGGAGAGGAGGAAAACTCAGTCCTTTTACCCAGAATTGATTCTGCCACAGCTAACAGTGCACAGTACTTGCTAGACAAGCAATCTGTTTGGACAAAGTCAATAGCATCCACCTGGCATATACTCCTTAGAAAACTGACAAAGAAATAGCAAGCATATCATAGTACAGGGGAGCAAGTCCATGGCCTGGCCTCTGCAGCCATTTGTATTGGTCTGTCACCCTTCTCTCACATTTGGCACCTCTGTTTGAAGGTGCTGCTTCTTTTTCTGTCAAAACATCACCAGTAGAAGGTTTTCGAGGAAACATGGAGGATCATTGAGCCACTCTAGATCCTTCTAACAATGTCCCCTTTACTGATTTTTAATGTGTGGCCGCCATGCCACCACAGCAGCCATTTTGTTTTTTGCCAGGTCCAGGTGGCAGCCATTTTGTGACTGGCACCCATAGCCCTTTTTCAAAACTTCCAAAGAGGTTGGCAATCCCTAACTTGATACCAGATCCGACACATGGCATTTGTACCAGCAAACCAAATCTTCCAATATGCACGTACATTTTTTTCTCCACAGTTACAAATGTGTCCGAAGCCATGAATAAAGTCACTAATGCCTAAGTTTATCAGTCCAGAAATTAAGGGAAGAATGAAGACTAGGAACAGGCCTCTAGAAGGGCAGGTGGATCACGAAAGATTGTAGAGAACCTGTTAATTTGGGGGGGAGGGTAGATGGGCATGGGAAGAACTCACAAGGAAAAACTTCTAGCAATTTATGTATTTCAAATTGATCCTCCTTTGCTCACATTTCTTTATAGATATGAAAAGATACTGTAAATAAATAAAATATGTTATCTTTTTTTCATCCCTCTGCTGCCAATCATATGATAAAAGGAGCCATTATTTTACGACCCCTGTGGTTGTCTGTCTGTCTGTCACAATGAACTCAGGAACAACAGACATCTCTGTGTCGCTTCTAATTGGTGCACCTACTGCGTTGTCTTCTGAAGGATCCAGTGTTGATTTCTTGCAAATACTTCATTTTCCAACAGGTTGTTTCTGGGCTTGCAACAGAATGCAAGGGTGTCCTTCGGGACAGGATGGCCCAGTTCTGTCTTCTGGAATACTGTCTGCTGTGCTTTCCCCTCCAGGCTACCAATGGCAATGCCAGCATGGCTTGACATACCTGCCAATGTGGCCTCCTAGTTACACAGGGAACTGCAAACATTCAGCTGAACCAATCAGCTTAATCGGGGCAACAGGATTGTCCGATTTTGCAATGTACAGTGGTGGAAAAACTAAAGAGAATAGCTATTCCCCCTTGTCCATGGGTGATAGCCAATGCTGTCTGTATGTAAGCAGATTGGGCTTCCACTGGTGCAATGGGATGTTCCTCCCACCTCGAAGCTCCCCACACTCTCTCAAAAAATCTCTGCTGGAGGGTTGGGGACCCTCTGGATCACATCTGGAGGGAGCATTGGGGTCTGCAAAGACGAGGGATGGAAGGTGAGTCCCTGTTGCATGAGCAGAGGTCTGTAGGAATATGGACTCAGCTACATTAGTAAAGAAAAAGCGTTTTACATGTGTTATAACACTGTGACACCAGATGGCACTGTGGAGTCCCATCTTTGGCCAACGTGATTTCCCTCTATGAAGCTGGCAATGTGTTTTCCCAAAACACTTTTTTTGGTGTGTCTAGATCCAGCCTAAATAAACCACAGGATCAGAGCATATAATCCAGTAAACAAAATGTTCCACCCAGCATTGACGGAGCAGGCAGGCCGGGCCCCCTTAATATTTTTTGGGGGGTGGCAGGGCCCTCTTGAAACAAATATTGAGGGGGCAGAAGACACCTCCACCCCTAGAGTTGGCGCACCTCGTGCGTATATAAGTATATAGCTTACTATTTACTATGATTTAGTCACCATTAAGGATCATGGCCACTGGTCCCATCACCTGCTGGCAAATAGAAGGGGAAGAAATGGAGGCAGTGAGAGATTTTACTTTATTGGGCTCCAAGATCACTGCAGATGGTGACAGCAGCCACGAAATTAAAAGACGCCTGCTTCTTGGGAGAAAAGCAATGACAAACTTAGACAGCATCTTAAAAGGCAGAGACATCACCTTGCCAACAAAGGTCCGTATAGTTAAAGCCATGGTCTTCCCAGTAGTAATGTATGGAAGTGAGAGCTGGACCATAAAGAAGGCTGATCACCAAAGAATTGATGCTTTTGAATTATGGTGCTGGAGGAGACTCTTGAGAGTCCCATGGACTGCAAGAAGATCAAACCCATCCATTCTGAAGGAAATCAGCCCTGAGTGCTCAATGAAAGGACAGATCCTGAAGCTGAGGCTCCAATACTTTGGCCACCGCATGAGAAGACCCTGATGTTGGGAAAGATTGAGGGCACAAGGAGAAGGGGATGACAGAGGACAAGATGGTTGGACAGTGTTCTCGAAGCTACCAGCATGAGTTGGACCAAATTGCGGAGGCAGTGGAAGACAGGAGTGCCTGGCGTGCTCTGGTCGCGAAGAGTCGGACACGACTAAACGACTAAACAACAACAACAAACAACAAAGGATATGGATCATTAGGTATAATGATCCTGGTAGATCAGAGGGAAGACCTACCTAGTCCTTCACCCTGTTTACACAGTGACCAAACAGGACCTACATACAACATCACTCTCCCCATTCGGAGGCTGTCAGGGGCTGGACTGAGGAGGAATGGTGGGAGCCGCACCCCCCTTCCCTTGAACCTTCCCAAGGGCAGAAGGACAGTATTGATTTAGAACAGTGGTTTGTAGAAGGGCATAGTCCAGAGGGGGAAAGCTGGGAAATACTGGGTGAGGAACAGCTGGAAGAGGAAACGCCAGGAGAGAGAGAGAGAGCTGGCAGATGCAGTCCTTGGACAGCATTCCTGACCCCCCTTCACCTAAGACTAGACGGGCTTTGAGAGTGATAGAACAGAGAGAGCGCAGCAGCAGCCAGCTCAGATTTCCCAATGCAGGAGTGACGTAGATTAATGGGGACGGAGGGGATGAACCTTTACAGGGAGCAATGCCATTTCTAGAGAGATATGCATTCCTTTGTCTCTTGCTGTGATTGTTAAAGAAACTAACTGGTAAGAATGCTCCTTTCATTTGATCTGCTTATTTACTGCCACCGGGGGAGGGATCTGATCCCCCAAAGCCTGACAGAGCCATATTGCCCTCCAACTGTGGAGGTAAAGCATGTTTGATTTGATGATGATGGTGGTGATGGTGATTAGACTGTGGGATGGATAGATAGATAAAAATGTTCCGTGCAGGGAATGCTTCCACCCATTATAGCCATGACACCCGGACATTCCACTGTCCATCTTTGTAGTTAAAAGACCTACAGGCATAAGCCATGCAGTTGAGGACCCAAGGGTGATTTTCTCTTTGGGCTGATGGTCTGGCTGCAGAAGGCTGCAGATGAGATGCTGTGCATTTCTTCACATGTTACTTCATCTCCAGCCAGTCACACAACTGGTGGGTTCCCTCTCTCATGCAGTTTTCCACATCTGTTTGAAGATATCTTTCCTCTGATCTGCTGCTGCTGCTTTGGAACTTTAACGGGCCAAGGCAACAGGGGCACATTCCCTTCCCCTTTTGCTTTCACATCCTTAAGAGCACACCTCCCTCCCCACCAAAATAAAAAAAAAACATAAACAGGTCCCCTTTTCAAGGTGCATAAAAATATTCACAGCCTCTACCTCTTCAGTTTGGCTCAGTCCCAACCTTTTCAAGGGGTGGTTGTATTTTATAACATCTTAAAGACTAACCAAACCAGGTGTATTCCAGAGGTTGTTGGACTGCCCTCTGTTAAACTTATATTAATTACCCTGCCTTATCCTACAGAGCTCTTGTGAAAATAAAATACAGGATGCCCTGAATTCCTTGGAGGAATAGCAGGGGAAACCACTGTATTAAATGTTTTAGATACATACATTTCATAAAGAAAATGGAGGAACAGTACGGTGGTACCTCGGGTTAAGAACTTACGTAATTCGTTCTGGAGGTCTGTTTTTAACCTGAAACTGTTCTTCACCTGAGGTACCACTTTAGCTAATGTGGCCTCCCACTGCCGCCGCGGCGCCGCCGCGTGATTTCTGTTCTCATCCTGAAGCAAAGTTCTTAACCCGAGGGACTACTTCTGGGATAGCAGAGTCTGTAACCTGAAGCGTCTGTAACCCGAGGTACCACTGTACATAACACAGATGCCAATGGCATCCATTTCTCTCCTGTCTCAAGCACATCTAGGGAAATCAGGATCATGCCTCAAAGTGAGAAGCGAAGAGCAAAACTCGAGAGTCCTCCCATCCTCACAGACGTTTCAAAAGTTCTTGTTGTTTTGCAGTGACAGCTTCTTCTTCTTCGTCTTCTTCTTTGCTTCCTCCCGACTGCTCACTTCAAAAATGAGGACCAGCAGTCCTGGAAAGGATCCCGCTCAAGCAGCCGATTCTGTGACCTTTCTCCAAGTCTACGGAGTGATGGCATCGGTTCAGGGAAAAGAGGAGGAAATTGGTGCCGCAGCTCTGCAATGATCAGACTGCCACAAACAGAAACTTGAGAGGGGCTGGCTGGCTGCTTGGCTGGACTAGAGTGTGCACACTGTCGCTTTCGACACTTTGAAGCCTCCTCCTTTTTGAAGCCAGGCTTCGTGGTTTTTAGGGACATGATGAAAGAAGGAAACAACTTGATTCCTCCACCCACCCACCCGCACCCCCCGGAGAATTTTGTGATTATTAAGAAACGCAAAGTTTGTTTCTGGAGAAAGGGAGAGTCATCTTGGCCCTGTGCATCGTAAAACACTGGGGGGAGGGAAAATACCCTGGCGCAATGAGGAGGAGGATCACAAATCAGTTGCTAGATATTGCTAGCTGTCGTGATTTTATAGGGAGCTTCAAGCTATCTATCCAATTCCTAAATCAGTGGCGTAGCGTGGGGGGTGCAGGGGGGGCCGGCCGCACCGGGCGCAACATCTGGGGGTTAGGGTTAGGGGGCGCAAATCCACGGGTTAGGGGGCGCAAATCCACGGGTTAGGGGGCGCAAATCCACGGGTTAGGGGGCGCAAATTACTTGCCTTGCCCCGGGTGCTGACAACCCACGCTACGCCACTGTCCTAAATTGCTAATGTCTTAGAAATTGCCATGTCATACCAAAGAAGGATTTTCTCTTTAGCTATTCTTTGGAGTTGTTGCTGTTGTTTTTTAATGTATGTGTAGGAACTTTTTGAAAAAAAATTTATTAACCATTTCAACATAACAAAACATCAAAACATCTCATATTCATCATTCCCTCCCCCATTTTCCCCCACCTCCCCATCAAACCCTCCCTCCCTTCCCCCCAAGACTTCCCTCAGTTCCTCTCTCTGATTTCTTAACTCATATTATTCTCTGCATACTGTAAAATTGTATAAATCCTTATATTATCTATCTACTACATTAACAATCAAAGATTTGTGTATATTCAAAACCTGCCAAGGTGTCCAATTTGTTTCGTTGTCTTTTTAAGTAATATGTGAAAAGTTCCTATTCTTCTTTAAAGTCACAGTTGTCTTTATCTCTCAATTTGTATGTCAGTTTAGCCATTTCTGCATAGTTCATCAATTTCTCTTGCTACTGTTCTTTTGTCAGGGTTTCCTCATTCTTCCATCCTTGTGCTATCAAGACTCTTGCCGCTATGTGTAGGAACTTTTAACCATTCTTTGTTCACTTGGATTTAAGTGTCAGCAACCTGGAGCTCCTTTTCATTCGGCAAAAGGTTGTTCAGGATTAGTGGTAGGAATTCACTTTCAAACTACAGTGGTACCTTGGTTCTCAAACTTAATCTGTTTCGGAAGTCCGTTCCAAAAACCAAGATGCGCTTTCCCATAGAAAGTAATGCAAAATGGATTAATCCGTTCCAGACTTTTAAAAACAACCCCTAAAACAGAAATTTAACATGAATTTTACTATCTAACAAGACCACTGATCCATAAAATGAAAGCAATAAACAATGTACTGCCATCACACACAAAATCAATCAATCAATCAGTAGCTGAACTGGGTTCCACACAGTCACAAAAACAACCAAAAAAGAGCCGCAAAAACAAAAACACAAAATAAATAGCAAAAACAGACAGACCTCAGCGTAACACTCAAAACGGAAGTGTGGCACTCAAATTGGAAGCGTAACACTCAAAACAGCGCACGTTTGGCTTCCAAAGAAAGTTCACAAACCGGAACACTTACTTCCGGGTTTGCAGTGTTTGGGTTCCAGGTTGTTTGAGTACCAAGGTGCTTGAGAACCAAGGTACCACTGTATGTTGTGATGGCGAACAACTTGGGCAGCTTTTTTAAAAAAAAAAAATTAAAGTTTTAAAAAAGAATTAGATAAATTCATGGAGGACAAGCCTATCAGGGGCAATGGTCTTCCTTCACTGTTGCAGGTAGTATGCCTCTGAATATCCGTTGCTGGGAACCTCAAGTGAGGAGATTCCTGTTGTGCTCATACTTTTGCTTGCAGGCTTCCCATAGGCATCTGGTTGATCTTTGTGAGAACAGAGATGCTGTATTGGCCTGATCCTGCTTTGTACTTAGAAGGTCCCAGGTTCCATACCCCACTTCTCCACTGAACAAATCTGAGGTAACGAGATATTTCTGCATTGCCGAGGGCTGGACTAGGTGACTCTCAGGGTCCCTTCCAACTCATAGAGTTTGTAAGAGTCTGTAATCCAATATTTGTCGAGGGAT